TTTTTACTCAATATTTGCATAGCCCTCTATGGGTATGAGGTGGTTAGCTCGGGAAGGGTTAATTATGCCATGAGTTATGGCCCTTGTTTCACTTTGTTGTACCTTGTAAATGCTCCAACGACAAAAAGTTATTATCTGATCTGTATGAAATTTATATGTATCATTTGAATTAGTAAAACGAACAAGCCTATTGAGTTTCAGCAAATTTCCGTTAATTATATCTAGGGTTATGGCCCTTGTTTCACTTTGTTGAATCTTGTGAACGCTTGAACGACAAAAGTTATCACCTAATCTGTATGAAATTCATATGCATCATTTAAATTAGTGAAATGAAGAACCCTATTGAATGTCAGCAATTTCCGTCAATTATGTCTATAGAGTTATGGCCCTTGATTTACTTTTTGAACTTTGTGAATGTTCGAACGACAAAAGTTATCATCCAATCTGTATGAAATTTATATGCATTATTTGAATTAGTAAAACGAAAAAGCCTGTTGAATTTGAACAATTTCTGTAGATTACTTCCAGAGTTACGGCCCTTGTTTTAGTTTTTAGAACCTTGCGAACCCTCAAACGACGAAAATTATAATGTCATCTGTATGAAATTGTCTATTAAATTCCCTTCATTACCTACAAAAGAATAAATATGTGACAACCCTTGTCGACTGCTCGGACGATTTAGCTGCTGTGGGCGTATGTTTTGTTGCCTGGCAAACTATCTTTCTTTTTTGAGTCTTTCGACCCTCTCCCTTGTTGACTCAGTTTTCCCTTCTTATACGCCCACATTGACTCCGTTTATTACGTCTAGAGTTATGGCCCTTGTTTCACTTTATTGAACCTTGTGAATGCTCCAACGCCAAAAGTTATCATCCGATCTGTGTGAAATTTATATGCATTATTTAGATTACTGAAACGAAGAATCCTATTGAATTTCAGCAATTTCCGTTTATTACGTCTAGAGTTATGGCCCTTGTTTCACTTTATTGATCCTTGTGAACGCTCTTACGCAAAAAGTTATCACCCGATCTTTCTGAAATTTATATGCATTATTTAGATTGCTGAAATGAAGAAGCCTATTGAATTTCAGCAATTCCCGTTTATTACATCTAGAGTTATGGCCCTTGTTTCACTTTATTGATCCTTGTGAACGCTTTAACGTCAAAAGTTATCATTCGATCTTTCTGAAAATTATATGCATTATTTAGATTAGTTAGACGAAGAAGCCTATTGAATTTCAGCAATTTCCATTTATTACGTCTAGAGTTATGGCCCTTGTTTCACTTTATTGAACCTTGTTAACGCTCTTACGCAAAAGTTATCATCCGATCTTTGTGAAATTTATATGCATGATTTAAATTTGTGAAACGAAAAAACCTACTGAATTTCAGCAATTTACAATAATTCTCGAGTTATTGCCCTTGTTTCACTTTGTTATACCTTGTTAATGCTCGATTGATGAAAGTTATCATCCAATCATCCGATATGTATGAAATTTATATGCATCATTTAAATTTGTGAAACAGGTCTATAGAATTTCAGCAATTTCCGTCAATAATTTCTAGAGTTATGGCGATTGTGAACGTTTGAATGACAAAAGTGATCATGTGATCTGTATGAAATATATATGCATTATTTAAATTAGTAAAAAGAAAAAGCCTGTCAAATTTCAACAATTTCTGTAGATTACTTCCAGAGTTGAGAACCTTGTTTCAGTTTGTAGAACCTTGTAAACCCTCAAACGACAAAATTTATAATCTGATCTGTATGGAACTGTCTTGTAAAGGCCCCCAATTACATACAAAGGAAAAAATATGTGACATCCCTTGAAGACTGCTCGAACGATTTAGCTGCTGTGGGCATATGTTTTGTTGTCTGGCAACCTATCTTATAAAAACCTCTATGCCAACTGGTATAAAATTTACACAACGCATATAAAGAACATTACGCAGCTGAAAATCAAATTTTTGGGAATAATACAAATATAAAGATTAATAATAAAATTATATTTTTAAAAGTTCTTTTTTACAATAATATTCGGTACGTTAGTAAATATTTTGATAAAATAAATAAGATCTATGATCAATATTTAGAAAAACATCAATTTATCTTAAATGGAATAGAAAAATGTATCTTGAGGTATGTACAGGAACTGACTGAAGTTGAAAGTGCGATACATACAAATTTTAATTGTAATATATCTCCTTTCGAAGATATAAATACTAATTTTCACAAAATATATAATACCGATTTTCATAACGTAGCTTCAAAAGATATTTATAATAGCCGGATAAAATCAAAATTCAGCAGACCAAAAGCCATTGAAGAATGGGAACATATTCTAGATGCAGAGTTAAGCGATCTAGATGTAGAAAATAAATTAAAAAAAAAATAAACTGAGGAGCTTTGAATACAAATATCTGCATAGGATTATATTCACAAATGATAAATTATTAAAAATTTGAAAAATAGATAACACACTCTGCACTTTCTGCGAATCTAATATAGAAAATGTAGAACATCTCTTTGTTTTCTGCCCATTTTCGCAAATAATATGGAATCATTTTCATACTATCTTAGATCGCAGCAATATAAAGATAAATATAAAAACACATATCAAACATCTTGGTGTAACTAACAAACCGGGGGCAGTATTTATAAAAATTCTAAGAGTTGGAACCAACTCTTAACTGTCAAAAATTACTCCTAACTTTGTAGATTTTCCTAAGACCTATTTATAAAACATTTTACTTTAAGAATTACCACTAACTATGACACATATTTAGGAGTCCTCCTGTAGCACTCCTAACTTGTTAAAAGTACTCTTATCTTGGTTAACATGGCCGTCCGTGTACGCCGCCTAAGAGAGTTTAAAACAAGAAGAGATTTCTTAGTGGAGTACAACAATGACGAGTTGATAAGGAGATATCGAATGGACATGGGTGGGATTCTTTTTGTGACAGATTTAGTTCGGCATCTACTTACGAGTCCTACTAAACGAAATTTCTCAATCGACGCTGAGATGAAGATCGCCATTAAGCTTCGTTTCCTAGCTACTGGTAAAATGCAACTGTGTAGTGGTGACGATTTCGGCTTCAGTCAACCTACAGTGAGTAGAGTGATTGCATGACATCAACACTGAGCTATAAATAACTTCAGGGAATCCCCGGATTTCCCATGGTTACATCGCTAACAGTTTGGTTAGGACCCAAGTCTTACATTTAGTTAAAAGTAACTCTAAGACCCTTTATAAATATTTCTAAAGAGTAACTTTTAACTAAATGTTGTTTTAGGAAGTCTTAGAGTAAAAGTTATGAAAACTCTAAGAATTTTTATATAAATAATACTGAATGGATCTTCATTAGACATGTAATTATTTTAACTAAGTTCTATATATATCGGGCTAAACTACGAAACGATATACTCAATATTAATAAGTATGAAAGCTTTTTAGTAGAACATGGAATTATACATAAATAAATGGAAACATCTTTTTAAGACTTCCTCCATACCGATTCCCAATTGATGGATACATGTACTTTGATCTGTGTATAGTAGGACCCCGTGTGATTAACATGTGCTTGTAAATATTGACGTAAATAAAAGTGTATTTAAAAAAAATATAAAAAATAAACAGTCACATTTTACTTTATAAGCTATAACCATTTAACTCCATAAATAATAGACTGAAAAATGGTTACAAGTGTCGGACATAACATCAGACACTTTTGAGTAAAAAAAAAATAGGTTATGTGTTCTTGTTTTGAAATTAGTCTCAGTTAACCAGTCTACCGACCATTCTGGGGATCACGGTGGGTAAGACTCTGGCTCGCTAGCCTGGAGGTCGGGTGTTCGATCCCTGCATTGGCCGAGAAAGTTCATTCAGATTTTCTGGCGTGGTTCTCCCTTGTCAGTGATGCAGGACAGAGGGCCTGACAAGGACAGCTGTCTAGTCGATTGGCCCGGCCGTGTACACATTGGCGTGCACGTAAACGATCCCTTGACAGTAGGACATTAAACCCCATTTCATTCATTCACCGATCATTCTCCGTCTGATTGACAGGTCGAGATAATTAAGACTACTTTTTTACAAAACATAACTGAAAGCTGGAACAAGAAATTGAATTTAGAAACACACACGTTAGGCAACTCGACAATTGTTTTAAGAACCTTGTAAAAGTAAAATGAAACTAGTGCTAGTATCATGTACTAAACCAACAGATGCCACTCCTAATGGTATAGTTAATGATAAAGCAATTTAAAAAATAAAACAAACGTAATTTCTAAAGCTGCTGTAATAACCAAAAAGTTAAATATTACTGCTTTTCAGATGGCTATTTATAGACTCATAAACTCTCTTATCGTACCGCGGGACTAGCCAGAAATCACTTCGAGACAAGCCACTGAAGCGTGCACATTCCCGTGTCGAGTTCAACTTTGAGTAGAGAAAATTTTCGCTGCACAGGGCACCCTACAGTAGATGCTATGTTTTCGTAATATTTGTTAGAACTTTAGCATTAAATTCTATCTGAAAAAAGGTTGAACTTACATAGACCCTTGTCTGTAGTTAAGTCCTATTTAGTTTATCGAATAAAAAAGAAAGATTTGGGAATACGGTACTCTAACAAAACGTCCCAATAAAGGTGTTTTAAAATGTTTTAATGCTATAGATAGACTCATTTTTGTGAAAATTTCGATTTCGGTCAAAATCAATATTTTCACTTGTTTTGTCTGTAGCTCATTATTAGACTTTGTGCATTCCGACTCATTTTGCCAGCACAGGTCACATATAGTAAATTACCGGGAGCTATTTATTTACACATGTAAAAATTGGTGTGAAGCATGAGAGTGATGAGAGATTGAATCTTGTAAGTAAACACAATAAGGAGGGTTCAGGTTGAGCATGGTTGAAACTATGTCAGTACTATTACTAGATACTGAAAAGAATATAACTAATCTACAGTGGCTTGACTTCTCCTTTAATGTATTGCTGGTATTTACAGGTTGGTGCTAGTACACATATTGATGTTCTCAAATTTGATGAGAAGAATAAATGGTCTATTGTTCGAGTTGATTCCAGGTATAAATAACTGCAGTAGAGTTCAGCAGCCACCATTCAAGGGAATTGTCATAACTGATTGCTTACTACGAGTGACAGTGACCTCTTAATACAATCTCAGTGTTTGTTAGTGCCGATATCAAGTAAAACTTTACACATTGATGCATCCACAGCAAATATCGATGCATCAGTAAATTTGGCTGTGGCCGAAACTTACTATTTGAATGAAAATTCTTTGACTCAAAATCTCTGATATAAATTCTATAAACGTGTCATTTTGTACCTACATTAACCATAGTGCCAACCTTTGTGATTTATTCGATAATATTTATCCCTTTTTTCTACAGAAAATCAGTGAATTATTTTTTTTTTATCTAAAAAAGCACATGTCAAAAAAACTATCAAAGATTATTTCAATGATTTTTAGGAGATGTTTGGTTTGAATTTATAACTAAATATTGACCGCTGACCGTGTTAGAGGAGTTATTGTTTATTACAGAAATGAAACCAAAGAATTTCTACGGGAATTCATTGTGACTGGTTACCAGGAGATGTCGCTGAGTAGGAGTGGCTGCTTATACAGCTTCTCAGAGGCGTGGCCGTGAAATATATATTGGTGGGGTCCGCAAATGAAATTATATAAAATGTTGACAATCAACATTTCTAGATCAGTATTTATAGATCACATTTATTTCTGAGTTATCTCCCCATTTACATTCTAACTTTTGAAATATTGTGAATGTTGTGTACATTGTAGGACAAAATTCTTGATACAGCTTTTTAGAACTCAGTGGAATTTCAAAATTTTGATTGAGTTTTCCCGATTTAACTTGATAGCTTGTTAGTCTGATACAGGACAAAGTTATCAATGGAGTCATCCCTGCCTGTATGTTAAAATTTATGCAATCTTGTAAATGCAAACAAGTTAAATGTTATCGACTTTTATTTGAAACTTGGAGAAAAAACCCTATCAAATTTCAAAATGTTCGGACCATTCCCAATTTCTCAATGGAATTATTAAAATTTGACCTGAGATTATTCATGGGCACATATGAAGGAAAGGAATTCTATCTAAATCCAGAATAATTCTGATGATGTACACAAGGAGTTCTGCCCCCTTGTACTTTAATCTTCATGAACTTTTGTGAATATAATTTAGGACTAAGTGGTAAGAATATTCATTAGGACATAAGGCATAGCCTTATTGAATTGGAAAATTTTAGGACAGTCAATTTTGAGTTATTTTTCATAATAGATTTTTTAAAACTTGCTGCATGGCCTACTGGGATTTGTTGACAATTATTTAAGATGTAACCTAAACGACTGTGCAGCTGGTGGGTAAAGAGGGGACTGGTCCCTCATCTTTGTTTAAAGGAGCTAAATTTCGTTTTTTTGGCACCTAGAAATGGACACAAATGTTTTGCAATGCATATAATAAAGTAATATGAATGTATATAAATTGATTTACATTCAATCGTTTCTGTTTTTACTGTAATTTCTAATCAGTTATGTTCGGCAAAATATGCAAAGAGTCCAAATTGAATGGCAGTCTTTGGCATCTGGTTATTCCAGTCTATGCCAGTAATATTCTCCTGTGGGGTATGTTTAGCCTCATTCATCGAGTTGTTTCATTACAAATGGCACTTGAAAGCACTCTAGCACGTGATTTGTTTATCTATTTTAAAATTTTCATTTTGTCTTAAATATTGGATATCAGAAGCTCATCTTTTCACCGTAAGGTCAACATACATTATGCAAGAACTAACTCTGCCTATTGCAGGTCTTTCTTTAGGCCTGAAATGTCAACTAAATTATTCATTAGACATTAATTAACTTATCCAGACCATAATCGACTCTCAATGTCATCGCTAGCCTGCGATATTTACTTGGATTAGGATCCAATCTGCTGCTTTATTCTGATTCATGATTACATCAAGAAATGGATAATTCAAAATATTTAATATTAAAATGTATAACTTTTCTTAAAATTAGATTTAATCTTCACTTTCAGAAGTCTTGTTAAACTACGTAGTGCCTTGACTTTATATAGCAGTTTCTTAGATTCTCAAAAACCATGTGCATTCCAAGTACATCAGGTAATTGGTAATTTTATAACATTTATTTTGTATCAGCTCCAAATTGAAATTTGTCTGGATTGAGCGTTATTCCATGATGGCCACAGGTATCTAGCCATTGAACAGCTTGGAAGAAACTTTCTTCTAAGGTGTCAGACCACAAGAGAACATCATCTATACATTTAGTAAAGGGTGAAGGCGTGTGATGGGTCTCCCTTGTGGCATGTGCGTTGAGAGACCGTAAGTCCACGGTTTGACGAGGTTTTCCATTCTTTTTAGCACAAATCACCATTCTGTGACACCATGTGACAGGTTCTCCGATAGGTACAGGTTCAATGACGCCCAGTCGGACATCCTGGTCTAGTCCCGCTTTAACCTCATCTTGCCAGTGAAGTGCCACGGGGATGGGCGTATGGTATGCGACAGGTTCTGCCTCCGGATCAATCATTAGCCGCATGTGTGGTCCGTCCATGAGAGGCAGTAGCTGGTGTGGGCAAGTGTTAAAAGTACTCGATCTGTAATGTTTGATGAGAAAATCTTGTAGTTTAGTGCAGTTGGACTCTGTAGGTGGAAATGGTACCTGCGTGGGTGGTGCAGGGGGCAGCTGGCGTACTGGACAGTTGCACGTATGAGTTGGTATCGGACCTTTGGCTTTCATCAGATCTGATCTGGATTCACCATTCTGTTGCTGTGTGACTGCAGTTGTGGTGGAGCCTGTAGATCGAATCGTCTCTCCGACAGAGGGAAAATGTGAGGAGATAATACCAAGTGCATTACATGCGTCTCTACTGACGAACAGTTTGTCAGATTTATCAGTGATATAAGTCATCTGTCTGGTTTCCAAGAGTTGGCCTTGCTTGTTAGTGCCTGAGAATCGAAGTACCGCAGCTCCAAGGATTGGGATGTTAAAGTTGTTGGCGGCATGCATCTTCATTGTGACAGGTATGAGATTAGCTTTATGCCTGCAAGACAATTTTGACAGCCTGTGTCAGCCAGAGAAGGGAACGGTTGGGTTTTGGTTGGTGATGGTGGTACAAAACCTAATGCCTCGTAATCCTCCGGTACAATCCTGATATTGAGGTCGATGAAAGGTTGTGGTTCGGAGTGTTCCTTAATCAATGTGTCGGTAATTGATCATAGAGATGATGGTCTATGGCTAGTGATCTACCAGTAATGGGTTGGTTCGGACGGTTGGTTTTCTGGACTGCACACAAGGATTCGAAAATTGCCCCTTCACATTCATGGGGATTGTCAGGGATGTGGTGTGGTGGTTGCTGTTTGCCTTTGCTCTGGCATATGGATTGAAGGTGATTAGCTTTCCTACAATGTTTGCACTAATGGCCGTAGGCAGGGCATACTTGCTTGCGGACCCGTCCGGATGATTTCCTACCATGCCCTGGTTGACTGCAATACGCTCACGGATCCGTGTTGTCTGCAGACGTTCTGCGATTGGACTGTCTGTATGAACTGCTGCTGCAGCTGTGGAATCGAAAAGTCTTGATGCTGAACGTTTTCCTGCCTCTTTGGCTTCAACAAACTTAGAGACTTCTTCTAGGGTCATGTTTTGATTTTGGTCGCTGAGGAGATCAAGTTGGATTTCGGAGTCCACTATGCCCATGGTGAGCACATCTCTAACGATGGTGTCGGTATAGTTTACATCAGCATTACAGTTTGGGCATGGTGTGATAAATTTGCATACCCCAGCCTGACCGCGTAGACGAGCACAAAAATTGCGAACAGGTTCATCACGATCTTGTCACATATTATGTAGTGTGACTCTATCATGAACGTGCACTTTAAACCGTTGTTCTGAATCGCCCTCAAATACGTAGATTTTGATAACTGGAATGTCTCTGTTACCTTCCAGGTGGTATAAAAGTTCCGACATAGACAAACTTGAACAAGCTATGTCACTTTCATGAACCATTTCCTCGAATTCTCATAGCTCGTCTATCCAGGAATCAACAGTCTTAGTCTTAGCACTAGCAGGCTTGCTTGACGTGTTACTGTCTTCTTCTGACAACTTAGGCAGGGGATTTTCAGGTAAAGGATCGACACTGACAGGTGCTAATGTTTCTGATATAGGGGTAACTGAATTTGTCTCTTCATTGGTAGGTGCTTGATCTGTTTGATCAGGACTTCGGGGTGGAGCTTGTACTGAAGTGGGAGTTTGTAGGACATTCAAATGCTCATTGACTATATCTTCAATACTAAAATAATCATTGTTTAATTCTGCTTCCCACTGATCCAGTCGTTGGTGTTCCGCAGGTGAGTCAGTATAGTCATATATTTCACCATGAACAAAAGAACACTGCTCATAGTCGATCTTAATTTGTTTCATTTCTCTCGTAAGACCTCGAATGTTGGCTTCCCCCTTTCTGATATTAGACTGAACTGTTTTCTCTGACGTTTAAGACATGTGACTTTTTCTTCATTATCTTGCTCTTCACCATTATTAATTGTCGGTGGATTGGCTTGTGGATTTTCAGGATTTGTGTCGATATCTTGACCTTGGTTAGGCTGACATCTTTACGGCTTGGTACTCTGATTAACAACACTTGATGACTTCTATAGATGATAGATTGTGGTGATAATTCCAGAAACAATTGTGGAGTGAATCAGATGCACCATTGGGAGGGACTATGTGGCAGTGGATGAGGACCTCCTTTAATACACTATATATTCAAAAAGACTTTCGTACATATAGCTTTATTCTGTAGGACAAAAATTACAATCATAAGACAATGACAATAATGACAGTTTAGACAATAGGCCTTGACTTAAAGTACGAAAATGACTAAAGGGAGGTAATCAGTCCTGTACTATTAGTATTACAAGCAGTACGCAAATGACGAAATTCTTACAGGCCGGTTCCAGTCAAACAATTGACTAAGCACAGCGAAAACGAACCGTAAATTTCCAATAAGAACATTGGGTAAACTCACTGGGATATGTGCCTAAAAATATAAGGATTGAACATAAATAATAACAAATGATAGCTCAAGAAAATATCGTACACCCTATGAGTATGACGCAAATGAGGGCCTGACTAATCACCGGAATTCATTTACAATCACCGGAATTCACATATAATCACCGGAATTCACTTCGAAAACCCTCGATTCCTACAACAAAACTAATTTATTTTAAATGTATAATACATTATAATGTAACGAATTACTATTTTGATATCTCCACAGGCCAAATAAAGGCCCTGTGTGGAAACACAAAATAACAATTTAGTATGAGTTTAAGAAGCGTGACTGGTTTTTGGCCAAATCAGAGGTTCACGGGAGATAACTTGTGTATGTGATTTTTGTTGCAATTTGTTGTAATGTATTGTAATTAGAGATTGATTAATAGTTTATTAAAATAGTAAATATATGCATGTAACATATTATGGTATATATAGTGCAATAAACAATTTAATATTATAGCTATATTTATTTATTTATACTTGCAAAATGTGTCGATTGTCACTTTTTGTCATCGACATCGTAACTTGTTTTGAAATAAATAAATGAAATCAATTTAAATAAGTTCCGCTGACAATTAATTGTCTTTGTTCAGAGTATTCTCATGTTATGATAGTTTATTATGTTGTTATTGTATGTGATTTGTCACTTTATACAATGACAATATTTACATTTAATATGATTTGTAACTCTGATATTTTGACCATTAAAGGGAGATTACTCGACATGTGTGGAGAAAATCTCGTAACTCGTCAAATTTGAGATGTTTTAAAACAATTATGTGTTGAACCTATTTGTAATTCATCAAAAAGCCCCTTTTATCAGCATTTCAGTCCTAATTTTAACTTACAATATTATTTGACCAAATCCATACACCGGAATTCACTTTGGAAATATCAGAATTTGCCCGTACAATCATCCTATTTACTTATATTTTCCATTAATATTAATATTGAATTACCTTAAAACACATAAAATCACTGGAATTCACATTGAAAACACATAAACACCGGAATTCACATTGAAAACATATAAACACCGGAATTCACTTTCAACATACCGGAATTCGCACTGAGGACCTTCGTATTTACTAATATTTTACATTAATAATAAATTACTTTAAATCACCGGGATTCACTTTGAAAACATATAAACATTGGAATTCACTTTCAACATATGATATCGGAAATCACACTTAAGACCTTCGTATTTACTAATATTTTACATTAATAATAAATTACTTTTAAACACCGAAAATCACCGGAATTCACAATGAAAACATATAAACACCGGAATTCACTTTCAAATATCAGAATTCGCACTTCAGACCTTCGTACTCGATCACAAATATTTTACAATAATAATAAATTACTTTAAAACACAGGAATTCACTTACAAAATATCTGAATTCGCACTTTAGACCTTTGTTTTTACTAATATTTTACATTAATAAGAAATTACTTCAAAACACCGGAATTCACTTTGAGAAAATCGGAATTCACCCCAAGACAATTGTATTTACTTATATTTTGCATTAATATTAATACTAGAATGTATCTGCTGTAAAACGATATTTCCAGATGGTCAACTCGGGGAAACACAATAAAAACACAGCAGTAATCCATGTAAATGTCTGCGATATCACCTTGGTGGAAGCGGACGTAAAATACAACTAACTAACAACAACAACCATGTAAAATGTCAAACCGAACATTTCTCGCATGTAAATGAGCTAAGTTTATTCGAAAATTAACTTAGTAATAATCAGCCAATCAAATAATTATAAAGTCTCATCAATAATGGTTTGGATGTTTTCATAGATAATCCGTTGTAGCATGAAGCAGTCCAGATTAAATGAAGTGTAATTTTAATAATATGCCAATAGTAGGCATATAGAATGTTCACCAGTTAATTGTCATTGTAAAAGGTGACAAATCACATACAATCACACCTCCAAAAAACATAAAAAACTATGATAACATGAGAATTTATTTATTTCTAAACAAGTTACAAGCCCGATGACCGAAAGTGACAATCGGCGCAATTTGCAATTATAAATAAATAAATATAGCTATATGATATGAAATTGTTTATTTTAATAAACTATTATCAATCTTTTTACAACGAATTGCAACGAAAGTATACATTAGCTCTTGTCAACAAAAATCACATACACGAGTTGTCTCCCGTGAACCTCCGATTTGGGCACAAATCAGCAAGGCTTCTTAAATTCAACTAAATTGTTATATTGTGTTTCCACAGTCAACATTTTTGGGGTTATTGGCTGTTATTTTGGAGTTATTGGGTAATTAGACGCAAATTGTTATTATGTGTTATTTTGGAGTTCGGCCTATTGGGTAATACGACGCGCCCTAAGTTATCATAATCATGATGCATATATTTGAAATGAATTCTGGTAGTCTTTCAAATAAATTCACCTACAGCGCCTTTATCTGGCCTGTGGAGAGATCAAAATGTATTATACATTTAAAATAAGTGAGTTTTGTGGGAGGAATCGGGAATTTTAGAAGTGAATTTTGGTGATTAGTCTACCCGGTTCCCGCGCAAATGACAGTCTTCTTAGTTCGTGGAAACATGTTCGTGCGAGAGATTTCTAGAACATTAGGACGATATTATGTATAAATAGACTATGGCAGCGGTAAAATAACATGACAATGTATGACAAAGATAAAATGCTACCAGGAATTAGTGATCATCCCTCCCAAAATGATTGAGGCTCAATAAATAGACATAATTAAGACGTCAAACTTCAAGAATGCATATAACAAAGGCGACTATGAAACAAATGATGTTTGACGTGAAAATGCTCTGATTGGCTAAAAAACTAAAGTGGCAGACTACAGTTAAACGCTCCATAAATATAAATTAAAGGGACAGTCACATTGACACAAATTATCAATTCTGCAATGAGTAGTAAAAGAGCTATTCAGAACAATGTAGATGTTCATTAGGTGAATGATGTGATACAATACATACCTCTTTTTGATTAGAAGGATATTTTAATACTGGATAACATATTTACAGGTAGCCTACAATTCTACATATGAACGTCATTTGGTTGGGTATAGTAACGTCTATCTATAGCTTCTCACGTTAGGCCTCACAGGACCTCTCTTCTCCGGGGTCGAGGGCAGGCCCTCTCCCGAGGTCCGGGCCGAATTCCCTCTAGATCTCTACAGGTCTCTCCCGTCTGTCTCCAGGTCTGCCTCAACCTGATTCTCAACTGGGCTTTTTTTATACGGTGCAGCAATATCTGTCGCACAGATAGGCACGCCATAGTTATTAGCATTAGTAATCAGAACAATGAAAACTTATTATTAAGAGTCACACATCTTAGCTAGAGACAAAAGGTGTCGATACGTGTTAAGCCTAAATCTTATATCATATAGACACTCCGAGTATACAAGTTTGTACTACCCATTCAATCTTACATATTATGTCAACACCCCACACCTGATGCAGATTAAATTTTACAATTAATCTGCCACTTTTAAGTATATGTCCAAAATGAGATACAAATAAAAAATATGAATTAAAATATGAATTCAAAATACAATATTAAAATTTAGATCCCAAATGATATTTTATTACAATGAATGTCTTGACTAAGTTCAATGATTAACATTTCGAGCTAAAGCTAAGCAGTGCTAATCAATTTCATTGGTCGATGCTTTGGGACAAGATAATCTTGATTCTATCTGATAGAGAGTGATGAAACTTAGTGTATAGTTTGATTGCTCAATACTTTTGAAAAAAATAAATGTGCGATTAATTAATATGTGTCATCTATTTATTTTGGGATTTCGACGGGGGACATCAGCCTCACTGTTGGCTTGTTTTACTTTTCTTTTAATTGAGTACCAGGAATTTGTACTGAATTGACTATGCTTTAAAACATTTGTCTGGAGCCACTCAATCTTGTGCGACATTTTTCGGGCATCGTTTATTATTTGTGAATGCAGCTGCAACAGTCTTATTGGATGGTTGGAATTCAGTATAGAGTGGGATTCCTGTTACAAAACCATTGGACAACTTTGAAGTTGCTTAACTTGCGGGCTATAAATAGCATAGCCGAAAAACGCATTTGTGGTAGATAAATTTTCCGAATTTTCTCCAGGAAGGTGCTGTCCCCATCCCCACGGCTATTGATTGGCTGTTTAGAATTCAGGTCAGCCACCTAAGGTAGGCTATATAAGACCACATTGAAGTATTCACGGGCTGGAATAGCACAAAAACACGTTTGCGGCAGTTAAATTTATTTTCAAAAAGATTTACCTACTGTCCCAACTCTGTGGACTGTAAATGATTGGAATTCGAGTCAGCCACCTAAATTATAGGCTATATAAGACCACTTTGAAGTTGAAGGAAAGGGTGTTTGCGGCCGTCAAAGACTGATGCCACCCTCTGTATCCCGATTTTTTTTTTCAGGCATTTCGGGTTCTGCCAGACTAGTTAAATGATGAGTTCTTTGCGACAATTTCTAATCATTATTTATCGAGGTATTGCCCTTGGAAATCTTGTGTAATCAACATTGATATTATGCAGTATAAAGACTTTACTTTTTATTTACCTAAAGATTTACAATTCCGTAAACTTTGTGGACGGCTTGTACGAGTTAATTGTTGTATGTTTAATTGCTTGGCAACCTATGGTCTTACCCTTTTTTCATCTCTCTAGGTTTCTCAACATTTACTGGCATTGGCAGCTAATAGTAGAATCAGCTGAATTTTCAATTGATTGCTGTTACATTGAAACCAAATTGTGATTGAAATCTGCACACAGAGGAGGATTACAAATTCAAACTGTAAAGTGTGAAAAATTGAGTTACTGACATATAATATTATGTTCAATATAGCCCAGTCTATAGATGGAGAAGCTTTGAATTTTAATATTATATAGATGGAGCATTATAATTATGTTATAATGTATTTGTTTGTAAAACAAAATTCTAATAAAAGATATATATTAATATTATACATGTGTTAATACATGTGTTATCTGTTGTTGTTTATTTATGTATAGATATTGTATTGTTGTGATTGTAATTTTTTATACGCCCACATGGAAATGTGGACGTATATTGCCGTTGCCCCAATCTGTTGTCCACAATTTCTTGTGAACGCTCTAACGCCAAAAGCTATTATCCGATTGTTTTAAAATTGATTTATGTTGTTGACATTAGTGAGATGAAGAAGCCTATTTAATTTTAATAATTTCCGTTTATTATGTCTAGAGTTATGACCCTTGTTTCACTTTGTTGGACCTTGTGAACGCTCTATCATCCGATCTTTGTGAAATTTATATGCATTATTTGAATTAGTGAAACGAAGAAGCCTATTGAATTTCAGCAATTTCTCGTAATTACTTCTAGAGTTATCTGCCAATCTGTATGAAATGTATATGTGTCATTTATATTAGTAAAAAGAAGAATCCTATTGAATTTCAGCAATTTCCGTTTATTACTTCTAGAGTTATGGATTTGTATGAAATTTATATGCGGCATCATATGCGTCCGAACCAGGGGGGGGGGGGGCAGCTGACTTTTCGGGCAGACGGGTAAAGTGAAAAAAAAAAAAAAATATTTCATCTACTTGGCAAAATAAAGTGCCCGAAATCTAATAAAAGACTAATTTTTCGGGCATTTTTGGTTTTGCTTCCCTAACTGTCGCCAAGCCCTTATACAACACTAATTTTACTTTTCTTTTAATTTAATACCACGAATTTGTACTGAGTTGACTAGGGATTAAAACATTTTGTCTAGAGCCACTCTACTTTGTGTGACATTTTTCGGGCATCGATTATTATTTGTGAATGCAACTGCAACAGTCTTGATTGGATGGTTGGAATTCAGAATGGGATTTCGTTTACAAAGCCATTGGATACTTTGGAGTTGCTTATGCTTACACGGGCTAGGTCCAGATACCCCTCCACGATTGATTGGTTGTTTGGAACTCGGGTCAGCCCGGTGGGCTATATTGGACCAAATTGAAGTTGCTGTATTCACAGGCTAGAATAGCAGGAAAACGCATTGGCGGCAGTCAAATTTTCAAAATTTTCTCCAAACTGTCCCGTCTCCGTGGACTGTAAACGATTGATTAGAATTCGAGTCAGCCATCTTAATTAGGCAATATTAGACCACTTTGAAGTTGCTTTGTTCACAGGCAAAAAGCAGGAAAACATGTTTGCAGCCATCAAATATTCCAAAATTTTCTGTGGGGGGGGGGGGTCCACGCAAGGTAATCTCCGCTTCTTCGCGGAGACCGGCTTTGCTGTCTGTAAACCCGAAATTTTTTCGGCCATTTCGGGTTCTACCCCCCTAACTGTCATCGAGTCTGTACGCCTGTGCGTCATTTAAATTAGTAAAAAGAAGAATCCTATAGAATTTCAGCAATTTCTGTTTATTATGTTGTGACCGTGAGGTCCGTCATATTACAAGAGTCTGAAATGGTTCTTCAAATCTTTAATACTGGAAACTTATAATAACAATTATCTACATACACTTACAGGACCGACTAATACCTTATACTAAGTCGGATAGACCTAAATGACTAACGTATCAAGTACAATCACATATTTATATGGAATTACTTCTAATCAATTGGCTAGATCAAGTGTTGACATAAATAAGCATTGATGTAATAATGTACGATATAATTAATAAAACAATGGTAAATAAAACAATTAATAGATTAATCATTCGATTGGCATGTGCGTTCTTGTGAACGCTCTAACTCCAAAAGTTATCATCCAATTGTTTTAAAATTGATATATGTTGTTTACCTTTGTGAGATGAAGAAGCCTTTTTAATTTCAATAATTTATGTTTATTATGTCTAGAGTTATGGCCCTTGTTTCACGTTATTGAACCTTGTGAACACTCTAACGCCAAAAGTTATCATCCGATCTTTCTGAAATTTATATGCATTATTTAGATTACTAAAACGAAGAAGCCTATTGAATTTCAGCAATTTCCGTGTATAACTTCTAGAGTTATGGCCCTTGTTTCACTTTATTGATCCTTGTGAACGCTCTAACGTCAAAAGTTATCATCCGATCTTTCTGAAATTTATTTGCATTATTAAGATTACTGAAACGAAGAAGCCTATTGAATTTCAGAAATTTCCGTTTATTACGTCTAGAGTTATGGCCCTTGTTTCACTTTATTGATCCTTACGAACGCTCTAACGTCAAAAGTTATCACTCTATCTTTCTGAAAATTATATGCATTATTTAAATTAGTGAGACGTAAAAAGCCCATTGAATTTCAGCAATTTCCGTTAATTACGTCTAGAGTTATGGCCCTTGTTTCTTTTTATTGAACCTTGTGAACGCTCCAACACCAAAAGTTATCACCCAATCTTTGTGAAATGTATATGCATTATTTAGATTAGTGAAACGAAGAAGCCTACTGAATTTCAGCAATTTCCGTTTATTACGTCGAGAGTTATGGCCCTTGTTTCACTTTATTGATCCTTGTGAATGCTCTAACGTCAAAAGTTATCATTCGATCTTTCTGAAAATTATATGCATTATTTAAATTAGTGAGACAAAAAAGCCTACTGAATTTCAGCAATTTCTGTGTATTACGTCTAGAGTTATGGCCCTTGTTTCACTTTATTGAACCTTGTGAATGCTCCGATCTTTGTGAAATTTATATGCATGATTTAAATTAGTGAAATGAAAAAGCCTATTGAATTTCAGCAAATTACAATAATTACTTCTAGAGTTATTGCCCTTGTTTCATTTTGTTAAACCTTGTTAATGCTCGATTGATGAAAGTTATCATCCGATATGTATGAAATTTATATGCATTATTTAAATTAGTAAAACGAAAAAGCCTGTCAAATTTCAACAATGTCTGTAGATTACTTCCAGAGTTGAGACCCTTGTTTCAGTTTTTAGAACCTTGTAAACCCTCAAACGACAAAATTTATAATCTGATCTGTATGGAACTGTCTTGTAAAGGCCCCCAATTACCTACAAAGGAATAAAAATGCGACAACCCTTGTCGACCGCTCGGACGATTTAGCTGCTGTGGGCGTATGTTTTGTTGCCTGGCAACCTATCTTTAAAATTAAAGTATTATCTGAAATATTTTAGATTTAAATTCTAACAGAGAACTACTATAACCAGCACGGTTGTAATGTCTAGAGTTATGGTCCTTGTTTCACTTCACCTTGCCAAAAGTTATCATCTGATCTGTATGAAATTTATATGCATCATTTAGATTAGTAAAACCACAAAGCCTATTGAATTTCAGCAATTTACAATAATTACTTCTAGAGTTATGGCCCTTGTTTCACTTTGTTCAACCTTGTTAATGCTCGATTGATGAAAGTTATCATCCGATTTGTATGAAATTTATATGCATCATTTAAATTTGTGAAACGGAGGTCTATTGAATTTCAGCAATTTCCGTTAATGATTTCTAGAGTAATGTTTGAATGACAAAAGTTATCATCCAATCTGTATGAAATTTATATGCATTATTTAAATTAGTAAAACGAAAAAGCCTGTCAAATTTCAAAATTAACTGTAAATTACTTCCAGAGTTAAGGCCTTTGTTTCAATTTGTAGAACCTTGTGAACCCACAAACGACAAAAATTATAATCTGATCTGTATGAAATTTTCTTGTAAATGCCCCCAATTACGTACAAAAGATTAAATATGTCAACCCTTGTTGACAGTCGGACGATTTAGCTGCTGTGGGTATATGTTTCATTGCCTGGCAAACTATCTTTATCAACCTAATTGAAATGGGGTTGTATATGGCGATATCCCGGTTATCCCTCATTTCCAATTTCTTGTGAAAAAACTACAGACTTCATTTATCATCAGGGCCCTTATTCACGAAAACTAAGATAAAATCGAAATTTTAAGAAATACTGCAATTCGATTGGCTGACCAGTAAAATCAATTCGCATATATCCAATGAAGTTGCAGTATTTCTTAAAATTTCGGTTGTAACTTAGTTTAAGTTTTCGTGAATAAGGGCCCAGGTTTTTTAAAAAATTATTTTTGTTGTTTAGATTAGCGAGATGAAGAAGCCTATTGAATTTCTGATAACTGCCATATTTGATAAATGAACCATTAAGTTGTTCATGTTTTAATTGCAGAAATTAAATCACCATGTTAACATTTACAGTGCAGGGGTACAGATTGCACTTTAGAATGCAGCTAGTTTTTATAGCCAATATGTTGTATTTTCAGAAACTAGTGTTATAGTTCCAGCTACAGGCAGTTATAACCTGTCACAATATTATCACTGCAGTAGTGGACTGGTCTAAAACCCCTGTTCATTAAGCCTCAGTAGACTGACCCCAAAAAAACCATGCTTTTTATACGCCCACATTGAAATGTGGTCGTATATTGTTGTCGCCCCCGTCCGCCGGTCGGTCTGGGGTCCACAATTGCTTGTGAGCGCTCTATAGGCTAAAGTTAATATCCGATTGACTTTAAATTTATACACAGTGTTTAAGGTCATGAGACGAAGAAGCCTATTGATTTTCAGCGATTTTCGATAATTATTGCTAGAGTTATGGCCCTTGGTCGCTTCAAAAAATCTTGTGGACGCTCTAGAGGTCAAAGTTAATATCCGATTGACTTTAAATTTATACACAGTGTTTAAGGTCATGAGACGAAGAAGCCTTTTGATTTTCAACGATTTTCGATCATTACTGCCAGAGTTATGGCCATTGATCACTTTGAAAAATCTTGTGGACGCTCTAGAGGGTAAAGTTAATATCCGATTGGCTTTAAATTGATACACAGTGGTTAAGGTCATGAGACGAAGAAGCCTATTGATTTTCAGCGATTTCTGATAATTTTTGCCAGAGTTATGGCCCTTGATCACTTTGAAAATTCTTGTGGACGCTCTATAGGCTACAGTTAATATCCGATTGACTTTAAATTTATATACAGTGTTGAAGACCATGAGACGAAGAAGCCTAGTGATTTTCAGCGATTTCCGATAATTTTTGCCAGAG